CTGAAAATATCAAAACCAACCAAATCTAACTAAAATAGATAAGGATTATTTTTCATAACTCGAAAAACCGAAAAAGTGAACCGTAACCGAACCAAAATTCGAATGGAACATTTCTACCAAGAAATCGTAGCCGTTAAATATGTCCTTCAAAAAGAAAACAAATTAAACAACAACCGTCGGATGGAATTTTTTGGTCGATAATGAATCCAATTGCTAATGGTTTGCTAAAATACCATCGTTGCTAATGGTATTCTTGTTTTTGTTCTTACTTGTTTGTTAGTTGTTACAGTGACCTTTTGCCGGAACTAACGAAAAATGCGGTGGCGCTTGCCGTGAGCGTATCGGACTAGCTTTTCTTCAAAGGTCAGATCTTTACAAGACCCAAAATATCATCAATCGCTTGGAATGAGATTTATCAATTATATTTTTGATTTTGTATGAAAAAAAAATCTGTATGTATTCCTACTCTATTTCTGGTCTTTCTTTGAATCTCTCATTTCTCTTGGAATTTGTACTCTTGTCGTGCGATACTATCTGATGAAGAAGAGCTAAGACCAATCTGTGTCGAATCAAGCAAGGTTCGAAACCATTGAGCAGAAGCTTTAGGAATCCTTGTGAGATTGTTCTTATAATCGACATAGTAGATCCCGAACCGAACTGTGTATCCCGAGTTCCATTCCCAGTTGTCTAGCAATGACCACACGAAATATCCTCTTACATCACAACCATCGTTCCTGCAAATCACAATCAAAACAGTTTTAACATCGTTTGCAGATTTGCAAATCAATCAAGCAATGTGTTTTTGTAGTTAGTTAAACCTTATGGCAGCTGATAAGTTGGAAAGGTAATCTCTGTGGAAGCTAATCCTCTTGTCATCTTGTAATGCTTTCTCCATGTCTATGAATGGTTTGTTTTTCTCATCCATACCTGCAATATCATGTTCAATATCCGGTTTTCTGATCGATGAATCGCATTTTCGGATATGAGACGCTTACTTACCGTTTTCTGTGATGATTACAGGTGGGTTTCCATACATGTCTTTAAGATACACTGCTAGTTTCCTGATTCCCCACGGGACTATGTGTAGCCAGCTTGACCCTGCCTGTTTCAAGTAAGTTTTTTTTTGTTAGATTAGTGAACCTAATTTGGTTTTTAGTTTTTCGGAGAAGTAAGTACATACTCTTTCTCCAATAGGTACTCCTCCACGGTAAGCTACAACAATTAAGGAGCAAACATTGAGTAGAAAGATTAGACATTGTGAGATGTTTTCTAGCAGTAATGAGAAATGGTGTCTGATCTTACAGCTTGTGATAACGGCTGCATCAGATGTAGCGTCTTGCAGAATCAGTTTCCTTATCCGAGTTCTGTCGTTCCTCGCGTATAATGTCGTGTAGTGGTTGATTCCCAAGTAATCAAATGCACTTTTTATGCTTTTGGACATCTCTGGTGTTATCTTTGGTAGTCTCTCTTCCACTTGACCCTTCATTGAAGCTGGATAGTCTCCATTGATTAGAGGATCCATAAACCTATTTTATATCTCATTCTATCACTTCGGTTTCTTTTTTTCCTTGGGCCTTTTGTGTATATATTCAGATAAAAGGATGTTATATTTACCATCCAATACTAAAATCCATCGCTCTACGAGCCGCATCTCTGTCCTCGTCACAATCAGACATTGGCTCAAACCATTTTGCATCTAACGATATCCCGATTCGACCATGCTGTTTTTCCTGCATTTAGATTCCCACATTTTATTCTGGAACTAAGAATCATAAGATGATCATGTTCTGTTCTGTTTTCTTACCTTGAAGTTTCTCTGGTAGGTGTGGTAAGCAGCAGCATGAGACAAGAGAATGTTGTGAGCTACAACATATGGTTCAACCGACGACTTCCCCTTCTTGCAGAACCAATGTCCCAGAAGTGAGCACCTCCCTGGAGCTTGTATCCCTGTGTCATAGCCTTGGATCGATAACCCGCGTGGCTCATTGAAAGTGATCCAGTACTTCACTCTATCTCCAAATGCTTTGAAACAGGTGAATGCATAATGCTCGAAATCAACCCTGCACATTACTTTAAGCTTTATGTCTTCGTAATAATCATCCCGACTTTTCACATTCATTTATCCAAAGATCATATATACTTACACTACTTCTCTGCTTAGCCATCCTTCATATCTATCTTCTAAAGCTTGTGGGAGATCCCAGTGATACAATGTCACATAAGGTTTGATTCCTTTGGCCAAAAGAGCATTTATGAGGTTGTTATAGTACCTAACTCCCTCTGGGTTTGCTTCCCCTGTTCCATCTGTTAAAACCCGAGTTCAACAAACCCGTCGAAACGCACAACATTACCCTTATCACACATCGAAATGAATCAGACTTACTAGGGAATATTCTTGACCAAGATATAGAGAATCTGTAAGCATCCATTCTGAGATCTTTCATGAGGTCTATGTCACTCTGTGAAAGGAAAATATTAGAAAAAGTTAAAAAGGTTCTTGCTTGTTAGACTCTGTCACTAATGTTGTTGTGTTGCGTGCAATCTCTTATCTCAGATTTGTTTGGACGAGGTTGCTCTGTGCAGAAGCAAACCCTACATTTATCTTCAAGCTTAAGTCAAAACATATTAGGTGAAACAACTTACATGAAATCTATGATATTGATCGACCGTAGTATCCGCATTGCTAAAATCCAAAATCTTCCCTGTCGAATAAGAACAAACAACATTCAATCGACTGATTTTTTTTCTGGGTTCTTTGTGATATTTTTCTCTGGGTTTGTTTGTTTCTTTGAAACCTGGTTTCTTGGTGAAAGTGTCCCATATGCTTTCTCCTTTGTTTCCTTCAGTCACAGCTCCTTCGAACTGATGTTCTTGCAAGAAAAGTGTTGCAGTTTATCAAAATCTTGATCTTTTCTTGGATCAGTTTGG